CTGGTACACCTCCTAGTACAACTCTTACCTCCTGCTGACTCCCCAGATTCCCCTTCTCATCGAAAATCCCCCCCAATTTCCTTGTGATGCCCCCACCTTACACGATACCACAGTGCCCAGGGCGTCCGCCCCTCCTGCCCACCCCTTGTCCCGGCCCTGCCTGCAAACGTTCGATTTGTCCCACTTCGTTGGATGCGGCCTCTCTGGGGGGTTTGGTAGACCTTTCCATGTACATTCCTCCTCCTCCGCCCAGACTCTTGGATGAGTTCCTTTCTTGCTCCAAGATGCGATCTCCTTTCCTCCGGCCGGCGGATTCCTCCTCGCTGCGTTCATCACACTGCAGTCTACTGAGCAGACAAAATGGGAGCGGCGGACAATGGCTCGCAATGTGTTGGCCCCGGACAATGCCAGCTAAGCAGACCGGAGGGGCCATTTACAGCCAACGCTGCCTCCTGTCCGGGATTTAAAGGGAAGCTGCAACTTGTGGGAGTATCAGTGAATAAAAGGTGAATAAACCTCGCACCGGGGGCGGACTGACAACTCATGGGGCCCCCGGGCAATAGGGGATCATGGGGCCCCTGTGTCCTCACCAGGGGCGGACTGACAACTCATGGGGCCCCCGGGCAATAGGGGATCATGGGGCCCCTGTGTCCTCACCAGGGGCGGACTGACAACTCGTGGGGCCCCCGGGCAATAGGGGATCATGGGGCCCCTGTGTCCTCACCAGGGGCGGACTGACAACTCATGGGGCCCCCTGGCAATAGGGGATCATGGGGCCCCTGTATCCTCACCAGGGGCGGACTGACAACTCATGGGGCCCCCGGGCAATAGGGGATCATGGGGCCCCTGTGTCCTCACCAGGGGCGGACTGACAACTCGTGGGGCCCCCGGGCATTAGGGGATCATGGGGCCCCTGTGTCCACGCCCACACTCAAACCACACCCAAAAAAGCCTATGAAAGGTACCAGGAGCATCTCATGGGGCTCCCTACCGGGCCCTCGGTCAGTGCCCGAGTTCCCGAATGGTCAGTCCGCCCCTGCCTCGCACCCTCCCCATTCATAATATAAAGGGAAAGATAAAAAATGTAAAAAGCCATGAACACAGTGCTGCGGTGCATTCAGTCCCACCATTTTGAAAAACCCAAAGAGGTATTAAACCCAAAAAGCAAACATTTATTACATTGCAGCTTACCGATTCTTAGATGTGACGGCTGCCTTAGTTTTCTTTTGTTTTCACCTGGTGATCCAGTCAGTAAAGCAAGCCATATGTGGGTCGAATTCCGAACAATTTTTAGATTGAAAACGTCATTCGTTCCGTAATCCGATGGTATAATTTACAATGTATAATGTACAATGTGTATATAAAGTATCTCCCAGAATTGAGTCCCCCCTCCCCCGGACTGTATACAATGTATATATATATATCTCCCAGAAGTGAGTCCCCCCTCCCCCGGACTGTATACAATGTATATATATATATCTCCCAGAAGTGAGTCCCCCCTCCCCCGGACTGTATACAATGTATATATATATATCTCCCAGAAGTGAGTCCACCCCTCCCCCGGACTGTATACAATGTATATATATATATCTCCCAGAAGTGAGTCCCCCCTCCCCCGGACTGTATACAATGTATATATATATATCTCCCAGAAGTGAGTCCCCCCTCCCCCGGACTGTATACAATGTATATATATATATCTCCCAGAAGTGAGTCCCCCCTCCCCCGGACTGTATACAATGTATATATATATATATCTCCCAGAAGTGACTCCCTCACATTTGTGTCAATATTTGATTCTCTTTTCATGTGACAACACTGAAGAAATGACACTTTGCTACAATGTGACGTAGTCAGTGTACAGCTTGTATAACATGGAAAGTTCTGTCCCCTCTAAATAACTCAACACACGGCCATTAATGTCTAAACCGCTGGCAACAAGTGACTCCACCCCTAAGTGACAAGGTCCAAATTGGGCCCAATTAGCCATTTTCCCTCCCCGGTGTCATGTGACTCGTTAGTGTTACAAGGTCTCAGGTGTGAATGGGGAGTGGGTGGGTTGCATTTGGTGTTATCGCTCTCACTCTCTCATACTGGTCACTGGAAGTTCAGCATGGCACCTCATGGCAAAGAACTCTCTGAGGATCTGAAAAAAAGAATTGTTGCTCCACATAAAGATGGCCGAGGCTATAAGAAGATTGCCGAGACCCTGAAACTGAGCTGCAGCACGGGGGCCAAGACCATACAGCGGTTTAACAGGACAGGTTCCCCCTTTAGAACAGGCCTCGCCATGGTCCACGAAAGAAGTTGAGTGCACGTGCTCAGCGTCATATCCAGAGGTTGTCTTTGGGAAATAGACGTATGAGTGCTGCCAGCATTGCTGCAAAGGGTGAAGGGGTGGGGGGGTCAGCCTGTCAGTGCTCAGACCATATGCTGCACACTGCATCAAAGTGGTCTGCATGGCCGTCATCCCAGAAGGAAGCCTCTTCTAAAGATGATGCACAAGAAATCCCGCAAACAGTTTGCTGAAGACAAGCAGACTGAGGACATGGATTACTGGAACCGTCTCCTGAGGTCTGATGACACCAACATCAACTGATTGGGTTCAGATGGTGTCAAGCGTGTGTGGGGGCAACCAGGTGAGGAGCACAAAGACAAGTGTGTCTTGCCTACAGTCAAGCATGGTGGTGGGAGTGTCATGGTCTGGGGCCCCATGGTGGTGGGAGTGTCATGGTCTGGGGCCCCATGGTGGTGGGAGTGTCATGGTCTGGGGCCCCATGGTGGTGGGAGTGTCATGGTCTGGGGATGCTACACTGGGCACTGGGGAGCTACAGTTCATTGAGGGAACCATGTGTGCCAACATGTACTGTGACGCACTGAAGCAGAGCATGATCCCCTCCCTTCAGAGACGGGGCCGCAGGGCAGTATTCCAACATAACGACCCCAAACACACCTCCAAGACCACCACTGCCTTGCTAAAGAAGCTGAGGGTAAAGGTGATGGACTGGCCGAGCATGCCTCCAGACCTGAACCCTATTGACCATCTGTGGGGCATCCTCAAACGGAAGGTGGAGGAGCGCAAGGTCTCTAACATCCACCAGCTCCGTGATGTCATCATGGAGGAGTGGAAGAGGACTCCAGTGGCAACCTGTGAAGCTCTGGTGACCTCCATGCCCAAGAGGGTTAAGGCAGTGCTGGAAAATAATGGCAGCCACACGAAATATTGACACTTTGGGCCCAATGTGGACCTTGTCACTCAGGGGTGGACTCACTTTTGTTGCCAGCGGTTTAGACATTAATGGCGGTGTGTTGAGTTATTTTGAGGGGACAGCAAATTTCCATGTTATACAAGCTGTACGCTGACTACGTCACATTGTAGCAAAGTGTCATTTCTTCAGTGTTGTCACATGAAAAGATAGAATCAAATATTTACAAAAATGTGAGAGGTGGACTCTTCTGGGAGATACTGTGTGTATATATATATATATATTTTTGTGCTTTTTATGCCCACAAAGGTGCAGTTAGACTTTAAGGTCTGAAGCTTTGCCCCCTTTATGGGTGGCAGGTAGATGGCACTGCCATTCCAGTGCAGCCATTGTTGTGGACCCATTGAGGGGTTAATGGACGTTCCCTTGTACTTGGATCACGGCTGAATGACTGTCCATTGTGCTTACTATGCTAATACATTCCTCCTCAGCAATAAAGAGCCCACCAGATTCCAGGCCCCTTTGTACTTTGTTGCACAGCAATCTACAGGCATGCCAGGGACTGTCTATAGCCGGCTTTTAAGGGAACCCGTCTCGGTTGGCTCTCCCATCGTCTCGGTTGGCTCTCCCATCGTCTCGGTTGGCGCTCCCATCGTCTCGGTTGGCTCTCCCATCGTCTCGGTTGGCTCTCCCATCCTGCTGCGGGGCTGCTATTGCTTGGAGTCAGTTTTTTTTTTTTTCGGTTGCTCTTCTCCCTTCTCCTCAACTCCTGTACTTCAGAACTAAAGCTGGACCATACACAGGTCGAATTCCGTATAATTCGACCCGTGTATGCAGAATCTCAGTATAGCTGTCTGCCTGCACCTCCCACATGGAGATCAGGGAGATCAATGAGCTCATCAGCGCCCTCTCAGTTCATTGAGAACTACAAGCCGTCTGCCACGGCGGATGATGGTAGTTGTAGTGCATTCCTTCACAGATCACCGAGAAGATCCCCTAGCTCACAGGTGTCAAACTGGCGGCCCTCCAGCTGTTGCCAAACTACAAGTCCCATGAGGCATTGCAAGATTGACAGTTACAAGCATGACTCCGAAGGGCAGAGGCATGATGTCTTTTGGCACACTGACTTATGAAGGTTTGTGCTCCCTGTGACTGTGTGTTGCAGCCTTGTGCTGTCGGCGTGTTACAAAACTAGTCTCCAAACTTTTTGATACCACCTTGCATCCTTTAAAGGGGCCGCTTCTTACCATGGCTTAGTTAATTCCCCAGCAAGTTTTTTTTATTTTTTCCTACCGAAAACATGCTGAACCGGACCGACCCGGACCTTGGACACTGACACTACCCTAGATCAAGCCTTGATCCAGCCAGCATAAAATTTACATTCTTCTCCGATACAATGTACCTTTTTTCCCATTTGGGAGAAAGCGAGTACAAGGGCGGGGTTTGCAGAGTGATCACTGTGATAGCCAATCACAGGCTATCACTGCGATCATGTGATTGGGAGTCCTGAATGCCAGTGAGCATATATGCGATACCGCGGAAGAAGGCCCATGTCTGTGAGGCCACAAATACGTGCGACATCGGTGGCAATGGGTTAACCTGCCATTCCAAGTGGAAAGAGCCGGACTTGTCTGCTTGTCTGCTTGTCTCAGCCCATTTATGCAGAGTAAAACTTCCTGACCCTGATGAAGGGGGAGTTTGTCCCCGAAACACGTTGCCTTTTTTCTGCTAGGAACCAGTTTTTCTATGATAAACTTTGGACTTGGTTGTTTGGCTTTCTAGTTGGATTGTATGTACATATATACACTATATTGCCAAAAGTATTGGCCCCGCCCTCCAAATCATGTGATTCAGGTGTTCCAATCCCCTCCATATCATGTGATGCAGGTGTTCCAATCCCCTCCATATCATGTGATTCAGGTGTTCCAATCCCCTCCCAATCATGTGATTCAGGTGTTCCAATCCCCTCCAAATCATGTGATTCAGGTGTTCCAATCCCCTCCATATCATGTGATTCAGGTGTTCCAATCCCCTCCCAATCATGTGATTCAGGTGTTCCAATCCCCTCCATATCATGTGATTCATGTGTTCCAATCCCCTCCATATCATGTGATTCAGGTGTTTCAATCCCCTCCATGGACACAGGTGTATACAATCAAGCCCCTAGGCATGCAGACGGCTTCTACAAACATTGGTGAAAGAATGGGTCGCTCTCAGGAGCTCAGTGACTCCAAGCGTGGTCCCGTGATAGGTGGCCACCTGGGCAATAAGTCCATCCGTGACATTTCCTGGCTACTAAATATTCCACGCTCAACTGTTAGTGGGATTATAACAAAGTGGAAGCAACTGGGAACAACAGCCACTCAGCCACCAAGTGGTAGGCCACGTCACATGACAGGGCGGGGTCAGCACATGCTGAAGCACACAGTGCGCAGAAGTCACCAACTGTCTGCAGAGTCAATAGCTAAAGACCTCCAAACTTGGTGTGGCCTTCAGAAGAGCCCAACAACAGTGCGTAGAGAGCTTCATGGAATGGGTTTCCATGGCCGAGCAGCTGCATCCAAGCCTTCCATCACCCAGTGCAATGCAAAGCGTCGGATGCCGTGGTGTAAAGCACGCCGCCACTGAACACTAGAGCAGTGGAGACATGTTCTTTGGAGTGACCAATCACGCTTCTCTGTCTGGCGATCCAATGGACGTGTCTGGGTTTGGCAGCCAGGAGAACGGTACTTGCCTGAGCTTTTCAGGGGTTGCGCTTGGCCCCCTAGTTCCAGTGAAGGGAACTCTTAAGGTGACATTTTGGACAATTTCATGCTCCCAACTTTGTGGGAGGAGTTTGGGGATGGCCCCTTCCTGTTCCAACATGACTGCGCACCAGTGCACAAAGCAAGGTCCATAAAGACATGGAGGAGCCAGTTTGGGGTGGAGGAACCTGACTGTCCTGCACAGAGTCCTGACCTCAAACCCCATAGAACACCTTTGGGATGAATTAGAGCGGAGACTGTGAGCCAGGCCTCCTCCCCCGACATCAGTGCCTGACCTGACAAATGTGCTTCTGGAAGAATGGTCCAACCTTCCCATAGACACCCTCCTAAACCTTGTGGACGGCCTTCCCAGAAGAGTTGAAGCTGTTATAGCTGCAAAGGGCGGGGCCAACTCAATATTGACCCCTACGGACTAAGACTGGGGGGGCCATTAAAGGTCATGTGTGTGGGAAGGGCGGGGCCAACTCAATATTGAACCCTACGGACTAAGACTGGGGGGCCATTAAAGGTCATGTGCGTGGAAAGGGCGGGGCCAACTCAATATTGAACCCTACGGACTAAGACTGGGGGGCCATTAAAGGTCATGTGCGTGGAAAGGGCGGGGCACACTCAATATTGAACCCTACGGACTAAGACTGGAAGGCCATTGAAGGTCATGTGTGTGGAAAGGCCGGCGGCCCGATACTTGGGGCAATATGGTGTATGAAGCAGCACGGCGGTGGGCTTTATAAATACATTGGAGAAGTACAGCCAGCGTTGCTATTCTGTTCTGGTCTCCCCAGTGCTGTGGTTTTCGAATGAAAACTGGCAGGACGGGCTTCTGATCAGGTGACCACTGTGAGTACCAATCACGATTGGGAAGCGCTGCAAAATCCTCCAATGTTGACATGTTCCTAGACGTCCGCACTAAGATACAAGCCAGATTTTGGGCATCCCCTGCAACAAAAATGTCATTTTTGGTGAGATACTCCCAAAGGGAAATCACATCTAAGGGGATGCAGACCACGCCACTTTCCTCATTAGAGCCCTGCAGGTGCAGCAGGTGATTGGTGATTATAAAGTCGCTCCCATTCACATTCCCTCTGCACACGGACACAGAGAAACAAACATATTTCTTCAGAACAACAAAAGGTAGGAATCTGCACAAAGTTTCTTAAAATCCTTCCAATGTACAGAGATCACCCCGAGGGGGAGGGGTTTATTCTCAACAAAAGCGCAGTTACTCTTTACATTTACAAAGTCTCAGGCGTTTCATGTGGCTACACAGAGGAGACTTGGCTCCTTATCCAACCACCAGACGCTGGCTGTAGCCAACATGGAGGCCATTTTTAAAGGGAAATGAAGGAGTGAAGGACAAGGGCCCACTGAGCCGTCTGCTCCGGCTGCGGAAAAAACACAGAAGAAAAAAAAAGAGAAAAAAAAAAACGGTTGGGAACATTCCGCTCGGTTCTACGTCTGCGCTGACTCAGCAATGCCAGCGACTGGCGGTTGACGCGCATTGGCCTCAGAAATGACAGTTACCATGCCGACAGTTCCACTTCCGATGTTCAGTGTACTGAATAGGTTTTCTTTTCTATTATAGATGGAGAGCGCCTTTTACATGAACTCCGAACATTCCGTACTGACCGAGGTTGGAGGGATCCATTTAGCTGACGCGTGTCGTCCTGTTCAGCTAGGATTTTTTGCTGCCTTTTATTCTTTCTCTTGTACCATGTCTGCAGTCTCTGACCATCTCCTGTACCATGTCTGCAGTCTCTGACCATCTCTTGTATCATGTCTGCAGTCTCTGACCTTCTCTTGTATCCTGTCTGCAGTCTCTGACCTTCTCTTGTATCCTGTCTGCAGTCTCTGACCATCTCTTGTATCATGTCTGCAGTCTCTGACCTTCTCTTGTATCCTGTCTACAGTCTCTGACCATCTCTTGTATCATGACTACAGTCTCTGACCATCTCCTGTATCATGTCTGCAGTCTCTGACCATCTCCTGTATCATGTCTGCAGTCTCTGACCTTCTCTTGTATCCTGTCTGCAGTCTCTGACCTTCTCTTGTATCATGTCTACAGTCTCTGACCATCTCTTGCATCGTGTCTGCAGTCTCTGACCTTCTCTTGTACCATGTCTACAGTCTCTGACCTTTTCTTGTACCATGTCTACAGTCTCTGACCATCTCTTTTACCATGTCTACAATCTCTGACCATCTCTTGTTCCATGTATACAGTCTCTGACCATCTCTTGTATCATGTCTACAGTCTCTGACCATCTCCTGTATCATGTCTGCAGTCTCTGACCATCTCCTGTATCCTGTCTGCAGTCTCTGACCATCTCCTGTAGTATGTCTGCAGTCTCTGACCATCTCCTGTATCCTATCTGCAGTCTCTGACCATCTCCTGTATCCTATCTGCAGTCTCTGACCATCTCCTGTATCCTATCTGCAGTCTCTGACCATCTCCTGTATCCTATCTGCAGTCTCTGACCATCTCCTCTATCATGTCTGCAGTCTCTGACCATTCATGTCACGTGAGGCTATCCTCAGAGCCAGCCCAGCATACCCACAGAGGAAACAATGTTCCAGGGCCGGGCTGAGCTCCACAAGCAGTCGGGTTGTTTAAACACCAATAAATCCATCGCTTGTTATCCCGGCAGAACATCAAATAATAGACACTTAATATCCACTTAAATGTTGAGCCGCTTCCAAGCCAGAGTCATAGTCTGTCCAACGCGGATCGTCATTGGTGGTTTGTTAGGAATCAGACAGAGATCATTTATAAACTTCAGTTTAAAGTGGAACTCCATCTTTCTGAAATCCTCCCTTCCCCCTCTCCATCACCCATCTACATTATATTGCCAAAAGTATTGGGCCGCCGGCCTTTCCACACACATGACCTTTAATGGCCCCCCAGTCTTAGTCTGTAGGGTTCAATATTGAGTTGGCCCCGCCCTTTCCATACACATGACCTTTAATGGCCCCCCCCCATCTTGTCCGTAGGGTTCAATATTGAGTTGGCCCCGCCCTTTCCACACACATGACCTTTAATGGCCCCCCAGTCTTAGTCCGTAGGGTTCAATATTGAGTTGGCCCCGCCCTTTCCACGCACATGACCTTTAATGGCCCCCCAGTCTTAGTCCGTAGGTTTCAATATTGAGTTGGCCCCGCCCTTTGCAGCTATAACCGCTTCAACTCTTCTGGGAAGGCCGTCCACAAGGTTTAGGAGGGTGTCACACATCCTCAGGAGTCATTGGTTCCTGCTGCTGTCAATAACAGCCAGTGAGCCAATGAGGAAAGAGTGGAACCGGGGACGAGTGAATGGACACGCAGAGCATGGCTCAGGAGCGAGCCTACTCCAGTACCCCCATAGCAGGAGGCTTTCTATTGGGGGGCACTCAGCAGGGGAGGAGGAGCCAGGACCGCCAGCAGGTGACCCAAAAAGAAGAGGGTCAGGGCTGCTCTGTGCAAAACCATTACACAGAGCAAGTAAGAATGAATGTTTGATATTCAGTACTCGGGTCGTTGGGTTGAATTGCAACCACGGCGCCACCTGCTTGGCGTTTGCATGTTCTCCCTGTGCCTGTGTGGGTTTCCTCCGGGTGCTCCAGTTTCCTCCCACACTCCAAAGACATGCTGGTAGGTGAATTGGCTCCTGTCTAAATTGTCCCTAGTATGTGTATGTATGGATGTGAGTTAGGGACCTTAGATTGTACGCTCCTCGGGGGCGGGGACTGATGTGAATGTACAATATATATGTAAATGACGGCGCTATACAAGTACCTGAAATAAATGAATTATTTAATTTATTTATTTATTAAAAAAAAACATCTTTCCTTTAGAATCACTTTAGGAGGCTTTTTGAAGTCCCATTCATCTCCGGCTTGTAAATGTTACAAAGGTACGTCCTTGTTTCTGTAGGATCCATCCACAGCGCAGTGCAGGCGGGCACTCCTGAAGTGGGGAGAAGAACTCACTCAGCATTCACTGCAGCAAAGGGGCTCATCCCAAAATGATGGCGCTCAGAAGAATCCATCTGCTGAAGATTGGGATCGGAAGAGTGGAGAATATGTGCTCTATGGATGAGTTCTACCCTTCATGTGAGGATAGGGAAGACATTTTTTTTAGAAATGTGGTTTTCATTTAATTACTTCCAGTCCGGACGCTTTCCCCCCCTTCCAGTCCGGACGCTTTCATCCCCTTCCAGTCCGGACGCTTCCCCCCCCCCCTTCCAGTCCGGACACTTTCCCCCCCTTCCAGTCTGGACACTTTCCCCCCCTTCCAGTCTGGACGCTTTCCCCCCTTCCAGTCCGGACGCTTTCCCCCCCTTCCAGTCCGGACGCTTTCCCCCCCTTCCAGTCCGGACGCTTTCATCCCCTTCCAGTCCGGACGCTTCCCCCCCCCTTCAGTCCGGACGCTTTCCCCCCCTTCCAGTCCGGACGCTTTCCCCCCCTTCCAGTCCGGACGCTTTCACCCCCTTCCAGTCCGGACGCTTTCACCCCCTTCCAGTCCGGACGCTTTCACCCCCTTCCAATCCGGACGCTTTCCCCCCCTTCCAGTCCGGACGCTTTCACCCCCCTTCCAATCCGGACGCTTTCCCCCCCTTCCAGTCCGGACGCTTTCCCCCCCTTCCAGTCCGGATGCTTTTCCCCCCCTTCCAGTACGGACGCTTTCACCCCCTTCCAATCCGGACGCTTTCCCCCCCTCCTTCCAGTCCAGACACTTTCCCCCCTTCCAGTACAGACGCTTTCACCCCCCTTCCAATCCGGACGCTTTCCCCCCTTCCAGTCCGGACGCTTTCCCCCCTTCCAGTCCGGACGCTTCCCCCCCCCTTCCAGTCCGGACGCTTTCCCCCCTTCCAGTCCGGATGATTTCCCCCCCCCTTCCAGTACGGACGCTTTCACCCCCCCTTTCCAATCCGGACGCTTTCACCCCCCCTTCCAATCCGGACGCTTTCCCCCCCTTCCAGTCCGGACGCTTTCCCCCCTTCCAGTCCGGACGCTTTCCCCCCTTCCAGTCCGGACGCTTCCCCTCCTTCCAGTCCGGACGCTTTCCCCCCTTCCAGTCCGGACGCTTCCCCCCTTTCCAGTCCGGACGCTTTCCCCCCCTTCCAGTCCGGACGCTTTCCCCCCCTTCCAGTCCGGACGCTTTCCCCCCCTTCCAGTCCGGACGCTTTCCCCCCCTTCCAGTCCGGACGCTTTCCCCCCTTCCAGTCCGGACGCTTTCCCCCCCCTTCCAGTCCGGACGCTTTCACCTCCTTCCAGTCCGGACACTTTCCCCCCTTTCCAGTCCGAACACTTTTACCCCCTTCCAGTCCGGACCAGGGGCGGACTGACAACTCTTGGGGCCCTTGGGCAATAAGGGATCATGGGGCCCCTGTTTCCTTGGCCAAACAAAAAAAAAACTATGAAAAAGGTACCAGGGGCATCTCATGGAGCCCCCTACTGACCCCGGGCCCTCGGGCAGTGCCCGAGTTTCCAAATGGTCAGTCCCCCCTGGTCCAGACACTTTCCCCCCCTTCCAGTCCGGACACTTCCCCCCCTTCCAGTCCGGACACTTTCCCCCCCTTCCAGTCCGGACACTTTCACCCCCCTTCCTGTCCAGGCCAATTTTCAGCTTTCAGAGCTATCACATTTTGAATGACAATTGCGCAGTCATGCAACACTGTACCCATATGAATTTTTTAGCATTTTTTTGAGACAGATAAAACTTTATTTTGGTGGTATTTATTCACCACTGGGATTTTTATTTTTTATGCTCTATAAATGATAAAGTCCAAAAATGTTGAAAAAAAAGTGTTTTTCTTATAATAATAATATTATTATTATTATTATAATACAGGACTTATATAGCACCGATAGTTTGCTCAGCGCTTTACATTATGGAGGGAGACAGTACAGTAACAATACAGTTCAATACACGAGGGATTAGAGGGCCCTGATCCTGGGAGCTTACAATCTAGGAGGAAGGGGATAGTGGTACAAGAGGTAATTAGGTGTGGGGGATGGAGTGGTTGGGGGAGTAGAGGATTCCAGTAGTTAGCCGGGGTCGGGGTAGGCTTCCCTGAAGAGATGAGTTTTCAGAGTACGCCTAAAAGTGAGCAGGGTAGGCGATAGCCTGATAGCTTGGGGTAGGGAGTTCCAGAAGATGGGGAAAGCCTGTGAGAAATCCTGGAGACGAGCATGGGAGGAGGAGACAATGGAGCTAGAGAGCAGGAGGTCTTGAGAGGAGCGGAGAGTACGGTTTGGGTGATATCTGGAGACAAGATCGGTGATGTAAGTTGGGTCAGTGTTATGAACGGCTTTATACGTCAGTGTTAGTGTTTTGAATTTTATCTGCTGGGCAACTGGAAGCCAGTGGAGGGATTGGCAGAGAGGGGTGGAGGACACTGAGTGGAGGTCAGTGGAGGGATTGGCAGAGAGGGGTGGAGGACACTGAGTGGAGGCCAGTGGAGGGATTGCCAGAGAGGGATGGAGGACACTGAGTGGAGGGATTGGCAGAGAGGGGTGGCAGATACAGAGCGATTGGTAAGGCGAATGAGTCTGGCAGCAGCATTCATGATGGACTGAAGAGGGGATAGCCTGCAATGAGGTCGGACGATGAGGAGGGAGTTACAATAGTCAAGTCACGATATAATGAGGGAGTGAATGAGTTGCTTAGTGGTGTCCGAGGTTAGGAACAAACGTATTTTGGAGATGTTACGGAGGTGAAGTCTACATGAGTTTGTCAGCGATTGGACCTGGGGCTGAAAGGACAGATTGGAGTCTAGGAAGACACCTAGTACCCTGGCATGAGGGGAGGGACTGATGATTGTGTTGTTGATCTTGATGGAGAAGTCAGGGGAGGGGGCACGGGCCGGGGGGGAATACTAGGAGCTCAGTTTTGGAAAGGTTGAGTTTGAGGAAGTGGAGTGACATCCAAGCCGATATGTCACTTAGTAGGCTGGTGATACGATCGAAGACTGAAGGGGTGAGGTGAGGGGTAGAGAGATAGATTTGTGTGTCATCGGCGTAGAGGTGGTAGTTGAAGCCGTAGGAGTTTATCAAGTGGCCAAGTGAGTAGGTGTAGATGGAGAAGAGAAGGGGTCCAGAACCTTGAGGGACCCCAACAGAGAGGGGAAGTGAGGAGGAGGTGGCAGCATTATAGGTGATGCTGAAGGAGCGCTGCGATAGGTAGGAGGAGAACCAGGAGAGAGCAGAGTCTCTAAGGCCAAGAGAGTGCAGTTTTTTGAGGAGGAGGGGGTGGTCAACCGTGTTAAAAGCCACAGAGAGGTCAAGTAGTAGGAGTATAGTATAGTGGCCATTAGTTTTGGCGGTTAGCAGGTCATTGGTGAGTTTGAGTAGGGCAGTTTCGGTGGAGTGTAGAGGG